TCCTGCTGTGCTGAAATCTGATTTTTTTACTAAGATAATATTAATGTTGTATATTGTAGACTCCCAAGAAATCATCATCTCCTTTTGTTTCCTTAATATTAATATATGCTGTAAATGTTCTGCTTCTAGTTTTGTGGCTGTTTGTTGGTGTGGGCTTACTAGGATTAGGACTGCGATATAAAGCTTATGAGAAAAAACTGGGCCATGGGGTGAGTAGTCCACTTCTTTTAAAATATATCAAGTCTTTAATAATAATAGGTCTTTTGTATTTCTGGATGAATAGAACTGCACACAGCATTCAGTATGCGATGCATAAATTTGGCGACCCCATAGAGTTTTGAAGGCAAGAGACATTCAGTGGTGGTTTGCCATTGCCTGCCTCTGCCTAGTGACTCTGGTATTCCTTGGAGATCTCCCATCAAAATAGTGACCAGGGCCGATCCTGCTTAGCTTGCAAGAGCGGACAAGATCAGACTAGCCTGGGCTGCCCAGGTTAGGGAGATTTACTTTGTGCAGTAGCCAAAATTCAAAGTTCTACAGGGCTCCAGCAATCTGTGCTTTTCGGTAGAGCCAGTTCACACATTTGGCTACAGGCCATGGAGTGATGAGAAATTAAATAATAGGCATGTGTGAATCGGCCCTTAAACAACAACACTCAACATTGGATGGAAATATAACTGATGGAAATAATGTAAAACATAATTCCCCCCCCAGGGTTACATTAGGTCATAATTTTTAGAAGTAGTCACTGTTTTTGTTTTTTACTCTTATTTACATTATTCTTAGCTATTATTTATACAGCACCATCTGGAAATTTTAATAAGCAAAACAGACATGTCCCTGTCCCCAAAAGCATACAAACAAATGAAAATGTGCAAATGCAGTTCATGTACTTGGGTTAAATTACTGAGGGAAGAAAGGGGTGAAGCCAGTGATACTCTGGCTTTTTTTCATACTACCTGTGGCTCTTCTGTGTGCCACTCCTCAATTGGGCACCTTCCCTATGTTTAACAGCCACCGCCAGAGGAAAGGGTCAGCTGTGAGTCTCCCCCAGGTAGAGGCATCATATCCAGGATGGAAGTAAATGTTGCTTTTCAGTTGAGTTCAATTTTATTGCATACAACCAATGGGTGTTACAAGCTATAGAAAGTAATATACAATAAAATACTGCACTGTAAAACTAGATTAAGGTGCACTGCTATAAAACTTATTTCATAAGAAAAGAAAAAACTCCCATAAGCATCTGTTGAATACTAATTAAAATCTTAACAGGCCTATACTGACACTAGCTTAGCTCGAATTTTCTTTTCTGCTAGGGCAAAAAGTGCAACCCTCTGTGAAACCTCTGGCTGTGCATCTGCAAGTAAAAATGTTTGGTGTAGTGGTTAAGAGTGCGAACTCTAATCTGGGAGGACCAAGTTTGATTCCCCACTCCTCCACATGCAGCTGCTGGGTGACCTTGGGTCAGTCACAAGTTCTTTCAGAGCTGTTCTCTCAAGGGCAGTTCTCGAGAGAGCTCTCTCAGCCCCACTACCTCACAGGGTGTCTGTTGTGGGGAGGGGAAGGGAAAGGGATTGTAAGCCACTCTGAGACTCCTTCGGGTAGTGAAGGGCGAGGTATAAATCCAATCTCCTCCTCTTCCTCCAGTACAGGAGATGCAGTAATTCTTCATTTGCATGTTATCCAGATGCAGAAAAGCTGAAAATACTATCCTATCTTAAACAGAATCATCTATCCTATCTTGAATACTCCTTGTTAATTAAGGCCTCACAATCATTTAAAAGGAATAGCATAAAGTGATCCGGTAGTGTTTGGTACTTGGGGGGGTCAACAGTGGGAGGGCTTCTAATGTCCTGGCCCCACTGCTGGACCTCCTGATGGCACCTGGTATTTCTGGCCACTGTGTGACACAGAGTGTTGGACTGGATGGGCCTTTGGCCTGATCCAACATTGGCGTCTCTTATGTTCTTAAAGGGCGGGGTATAAATCCAATCTCCTCCTCCTTCCATCACAGTGCTAAGGCCTAAATTGGCCAGGATTGTACCTGAGAATTTCTTCCTTAGGGCTGAGTAAAGTGGACAGAACAACAGATAATGGCACAGGATCTTCAGCATCTGGACCTCCACATATGCAGAGGTGCTGAGCAACTGGTGTTTGGGAGTAGTGACCTTCAAGCATAGCTGTTTCCATTGTTTGAGAATGAATAGATGTAAAAGCTGAGCGTAATTTTAAAAAGGAAATCTTGGACAGATATTGTGCCCTAAGATAATTTAATTGATTTGTACCAGGGAGAAAATTTAGTTTCTAGTATGACTGGCCTGTTTAAAGCAGCATCGTGTGTATATATTTGCACCCTACCATTAAGATCGGCCTGAAAGGCTCCTCGGACAACATCTGGCAAATAGTATATTTGAAGAATTTTGTTATAATTGGATTGCCATTTAGGATCTTTTAGGCTTATAGAGAAACAAATTTTCCTTTTTTTGGTTGGTTCATAATTGTGAATGTGGCTGTCTGGACCAAAGAGTAAGTATGCTGGATATTTGGCAGAGCGAATGTTGCACAGGGGAATAATCATCACAGGTATATATGTGTTTAGCCTCTGAGAAAAAGTTTACTAGAAATTAGGGAAGGGGTTACATGGAAAGAAAACAACAGCCTAACTAACTCATCTTTCTAGTTCCATCTTGTTTCTTTCTCATGCTTTTCTTCTTCTACATACTTCTTACTTTTGCCCCTAAAAACAAAGGATGGAAGTTTCTCCCCAAAGCTCCATCCCTTGTGTACGTGCAGAATAGCATGTACTACTTCCAATATATTGATTAGCCAATAGTCGATCTTAAGGTCACCTCATTAAGAATAAAACCTCCCCCTTTCTAGTGGGAAGATTCTACTAGACACCTAATTGGCCCTATGCTAAACTTGTTTACTAGTAGACTGTAGAACTGTTATTATGATTTTATTGTTTTATTGGATTTTATGCATGGGCTGTTGCCCCTTGTAAGCCGCCCTGAGCCCGCTTGCGGGGAGGGCGGGGTAAAAATGTCTAAATAAAATAAAATAAAATAAATAGTACACAGAAACTTCAGCGTAACCCTTTCATGACTGAAGGGATGACACTTGTAAAACCCACCAAAATAGGACTGGGTTAAGCTAAAAGTTGGCTTGACAGCATCATTTCCTGTTGTGTTATGATGTCCTTCCTGTTCTTCTTTTGGACAAATAGTATATTTTCAATCATTCTACAAGCTTCTGCCACCTGATAGTGATTATCGGAGCAATCTTAAGAACACTCTCCTGAGAGTAAGCCCCACTGAATAGATCATAGTGGGATTCAGAGTTGACCTGTTTAGGACTGCTGTTTTCAGTGATACTAGCCATATACCTTCACCAAACCAGTATAATTTTTCCTCTTTTGAAATTATCTGTAGCCTCCAAAGAAAGAATTCTCTGCCTTGATTTGGCCCTTCAGATTTGGCTATGACAACAAAGGTTGGTCTAATCTGGAAAGATCAGCTGTTCTGCTGAATCAAACAGGTACTCTTTACAAAATGCTTTTCCTGTTATGCCTCCCTTGCCACTCCCTTGTAGGCAGAGTGGTCTTTCCCATCAGGTACAGAAGGAGTGGGGAAACTTCTCTATTGAGGAATAAAGAACCCAGATGGTAGAGGTACCAATGGTGGCCGTTGCCCAGCAGTGGGCTCCACTTCTCAGGCTGCTCAGCAGCTGTCACATGCTGTAAGGCGATACTGGAGTAGTGAAACAGGTTTGGTTTGGGACTGAAGCATGTTGAAATGCCAGCAGTAGTGGTGAAGGCTGTGAAGTGAGACATTCATGGTTCAAAGAGCCAGCCTGGTGTAATGGTTAAAGAGCTGGCCTAGGATCTGGGAGACCTGGCTTCAAATCCCCACTCCGCCACACGGACCTTGCTGGGTGATCTTTGGCCAGTTGCTTGCTTTCTCTCAGCGTTAACAGGTTGTTGGTGTGAGGATGAAATAGAGGAGAATGATGTTGTAAGCTGCCCTGGGTCTCCCATTGGGGTTAAACTTGGGTATAAATAACACAAAAATAAAATAAAACTCTTACCTGTAGCCAAGTGGCCTCAGACAAGCAAGTATTTATCAGCCGTGTAAGCGTTTATCACCACTGTCTGTTGTATGGATCTAAGTTACAGGGCTGTTGTAAATATTACTAAGGGAAGGTATGTGCAGCGCTCAAGAGTGTTCAGTGCTATATGAATACTGGACATTATTATTCTACAGACCTCATTTCATAAGGCAGGCAGCAAAACAAGTCTACTTAAAGGATAATGAAATTTTTAATAGGACATTTTTGGGAGGTGCAAACTGTTCATCTAGCTGATTCTTCTGGCTGATTTTTTTAAAAAACAACAACTTGTTATTGATATTGTTTGGGCTTTCCACTTCTGGTTGGGAATTTTTTGGGGGGAAATCAGCTAGGGGGATTGAGTGCACCAAGACATTTATTTTCCTATTAAAGATTTAATTATCCTTCATGCAGACTAGTTTTACTCCAGTTGGATGGGTGGAATGGGAAGAATGTTTTTTCCTTTGCACACCAAGAGAGTCTGTAAGGCAAACCAAGAGAGAGCAGTACCAATAATAAATGTTAACGCTGTATCTTTCGATGGAAGGAGAGCAGTTTCATCAGACGGAAGCACCCCGCTTATTGCGGTCCACGTGTCTCAAAGAAAATTTTTACCGAAGATTTCTTAACATGCTTACAACTTTTCAAACATTTTACCACCTTTTCTTTCCTCTAGGTGCGGACTTCATTACTATTATAGAGAGCGATGCCTCCAAACTGTTCATTGGAAACAACGACCTAACCATGTGGCTAGGAGAAGAACTTGGCTTCTACACAGATTTTGGGCCAAGTACACGGGACCATACATGGGGGTGAGTCATGCCTGGAGACAGAGATTCACAGGCTAGCCCCGCCCCTGTACTCATCTGCTTCAGAGGACAAGCCGATGGGGGGCAGCCTCAAATAGACACTACTGAGCAGACAGCCCAACCAGTGGGGCAGGGAGCATGGGTGAGGCCCCACTAGGGTGGCCACTGGCAGGGGTGGGAAACCCCTGGAAATTTGGGGATGGAGCCTGGTGTTATGCCTGCCCTTGACTCAGCCCCAGAGCCAGCTCCTGACAGCCTAAGAGGGGAGGATTCAGTGCCTTTAAGAGCTGAAGAAGCATCAGGATCTGCACCTACTGTAAGTACTGAGGAGGATACACAGCAATCTGAGTCAACTACAGGACGATTTGCACCTGGGATTGAGCAGGCCATAAGCAGCTCACCACCTTCATCTCCCCCACCTGTAAGTAGGCTTAGGGATCAGAGACGTCAGGAGCTGGCTAGCCAACGAAAAGAAGCACGTTCAAGAGGGCGGAGATCCTTGAGCCCTGAGTTTTAACAGCAGCCAGGACCTCGCACAAAGGTCTTGAGGCCTGAGTTTTACCAGCAGCCAGGACCTCGCACAAAGGTGCTAATGAGTTAATGGGCCAGAGCACTATTTAGTAGGGCCTCTGGCCATGAGCAATTTGTGCTGGCAACCTCGTTCGTAGAACCAGAAGCTCTGCACCTTGATTCCTGTTTGCCTCTGTGGCTTTTGGACTCAGCTTGTGTTTGGACTGCTCTGGCTCTTGACTTCCAGCTTTGAACCTGACCGCGCCCTCGGCTTTCTCCCTGGCTCTACCGTGACACCTGGGGAGGACAAAGGAGTACAATGCCATACAGTCCACTCTCCAGAGCATCTGTTTTCTCCAGGGGAACTGATCTCTGTAGTCTGGAGATGAGTTGGAATGCTGGTGGATCCCCAGGTCCCAAATGGAGGCTGGCATCTGTAGGCTCCACCCATAAAGGCTCCACCAGCAACGTCAGAGCCCGGCTAGGCCCAGTGCAGGCCTCAGAAGGGAAGTTGGGCTCAGGCCGCAGACTGCACTTGGGGCCGGGCCAGAGGAAGAGGCCAGCAGCAGTGGGGGCTCCTGGGCAGACAGGCAGAGCAACCTCTTAACATCTCAGGGGAGGGAGCGGTGGCGCAGGCAGTTCAACGCCTGCATTAATAACACTAGCAAACAGCCACTATGGCTGTTCGAGACCCACCGCGGCCGAGGTGAGCTCCCGGCCCAAGTCCCAGCTCCCGCCCACCCAGCGGCTCGAAAGCGTAACCACAAGTAGACAGATGGGTACCTGCCCTAGGTTGGCAGGGGGCACCCTCCCTCCTGATGGTGTGTGCCAGGAGTGTTGGCGGCGGCAGCGATACGGCGGCGGAGCAGAGGCGACGGAGACCAGATCGAGGCGGAGCTACGGCGGCGGGACGATGCAGCGCGGCGGAGCCTAAAGGACAAAGGCCGGAACTGCAATCGGGAGCCGCCGCGCGCCGGAGGAGTCCACCAGGAGGCTGCTGGGAGATGTCGTCGACCCGTCCTAAGGCGCCAAGAAGAAACAACGGAAGCCCGCCCATGGAATACAACAGGACTGCGCCACTCGGGTGTCGATATGTAGCCCCTCCACCAGTTGAATTGTGGCCCTAGGATAGGAACTAATTAGGCGCTTAGGCCATATACCTGTAAACCACCCAGAGACCTTCGGGTAAAGGGCGGTATACAAATCGAAGATATAAATAAATAAATAAGAAAAGAGGGCCTCCCCAGGGAAGCCATTGGCCCAGACTCCCTTCAATTGCCTGGGGCCCATCCCTGAAGAGAGGGCACTCGGGGACTCCAGGCTCAGCCCAGCCCTAGGAAATCCTCTGTTAGGTCACCCCAGGGAAGATCCAGACCACTCCCATGTAGAATGACTCTGACAGTCCAGTATTTTCACCGGTGGCCTGGGAAAACAAGAGAGAAAATACCAGACTTTTAAATGTCTGGTATTTTCAGGGTTGCTGCCACAGTTCTTATACAGCTGTGGCAGCTGCGGAGTGGCAGTAACCCAGGAAGACAGCACAAGGCCCAGGGGAGCCTCCTGGGTTGCTGCGGCCGTTCTGTAGCCATGGCTGATTTACGCTGTCCGGGCTCTGCGAGCCTGAGCAATGAACAGCCTGCTCCACCATCGGCCTGCATTTGTGTCTTTAGGGAAGAGGTTCGGGCAAGGAGGCGTGGCTAAGGGAGGAGGGCAGCTCTCCAGGAGACTTGCAAGAGCCTGCCCCCTGCTTTGTAGGGTGCCAGCCTCCAGGTGGGACCTGGAGATCGCCTGGAATTACAGTTTATGGAGAGACTACAGAGAACCGTTCCTCTGGAGAAAACGGGTGCTTTGGAGGGTGGACTCTTTGGCATTGTACCCCACTACAGGTCCTTCTCCTACACAGGATCCACCCTCGAATCTCCAGGAATGTCCAAACCTGGATTTGGCACCCCTACCCCCTGTGCCCCACTGGTGGCTTGGGGGAACCTGGCGACCCTACTGCTTTGCGTTAAACGTTTACTTGGTGGGGTGCTGCAAAGGGCAGCCCAGGAGAAAGGGGGCAGGCAACTGGGGCAGCACCAGGCTATGTGGCGAGGTAGTAGAGGAGGAAAGCCATACCTTCCCCCAGTCCCTGGTCTCTTCGCCCTCCGAGGAATATGCTGCATGTATATGTGAACAGTTCCTCTACTCACAGAGATCCAAGTAACATTTCCCCCCAGGCTTTAATTTATTTAAGTACTGTTAAATGTAGTTTATTTTTAACTTTGTGAAAACTGGCGATGAATGGCTGGGTTTGTCCTGCCAGGTTTTAGAACTTGGGCCTATTTTGAACACTGAGATTTAGAAAGGTGTGTGGGGGGGTCACTGGTGCACTTATTCTACCAGCAGTCCCATACTTCAGGCTGTCTGTGTTACAGACGCTGTCAAAATGTAACTTTTCACTGTGTGTTTAAGCTCTGGATCTGATGTGGAAATGCTTATTTTCTCTTTTTCAAACGGCAAGGCTTTCCTCCACAGTGATATTTTCTGTTTACAAATACATTTGTGACTAGTTGTTCTACCTACAGATGTCAGGAGGCTGTGCTTGAGATTTGGTTTACAGCACATGTAAACAATTTAAAAACAAAATGGGGAATTAGTAAAGAAGTTATTTACGTTCCTTAGCCACCAGTTCTCAGCATATTCTGTTTCTCTCTTGTGCATACAGCATGCTAAAAGCTAGTTTGGGTATGGTATTAATAATTACTGTACGGCACTGTGTGTAGAATAACCTGGAGATCCTGTGATTGGCAGGCAGACGTTCTAGCTCATTTAATAATAATATATTTCGATTTATTAATCGGTCAGTCCTGCAGAGCTGCTGGCTCTGAGCGATTTACAGTTACACATTAACAAGGGACTAACAATAATTCATAGGGGGTAAGGGAGGACAACATATAAATCTTTTTTTAAATTGCACACATTTACAGCCGATGAGGCTTTTTGTTCAGCTGTAAACTCAGACGTGTTCCGGACGGCATTCACTCGGCTTGGCTTGATGACGTCAGTTTTTCCAGGACTGCTACGAGTCACAGCGCCACACTGCCACCGCCTGGCCGGATTGGCCCATCGCAGGCTTCTTAATGCCAAAGAGATCTTTTCCAGGCTTCCGAGCTGGACAGTCCGTTTCGCCGGCTAACACCTCCCCCCACCGGAGGGGTTTAGTGTTATGCACCACTAGTTGGTGAGCTAGTCTCGTTTTTTTTAAGGCAAGAGACGTTTCAGAGGTGGTTTCCCATTGTCTGCCTCTGCGTCACGACACGACCCTGGTATTCCTTGGAGGTTGCCCTTCCAAAGACTAGCCAAGGTTGACCCTGCTTCACTTCCAAGGTCTGATGGGATCATAATAGCCTGGGCTATCAAGGTCAGGGCTTTGGGTAAGGTGCACCTGTCAATGCCTCTCTTGGTGCTTGATTCCAGAAATGGGGAGCCGTTCCATTGGAGATGTATTGTCTCCTCCTCCTCCTCCTCCTCAAGCAGCTCCAGGTGGGCTGCCAGGGTGGGGGCAGTAGCATAAATCTTTCAAGTCTGAGATAAAAGATGGAAAAGTCTGGCTTCAGAAATATCACCTGTTTCTACCAGTTCTACAGGTTCTCACCTGCATGTATTTCTATGTATTAAATGGGGGGGGGGAACTGGTATAGTAGTGCTTGGTGTGTTAGACTAGGCAGTGTCTTGTCCCTTTAATAAGGTCTTATTTGCCTCCATGCCATTAAAAGCCTCAATGATCCATTTCCACACCTAAGCCTCTGTTAAAGGGGCAGGGCATTTTTGTTCTTTATCCCGTGTGTATATCGGCAAATTTTTTATCAAGTGCGTCCAGTATTTCTGTTGAAACCATCTGGGAACCCTGCTCCCAGGATGCTCAGGGAGAGGTGGATCGCTTGAGAGAGAAAGGGTCAAGTGAGCTAGAATACCCCACCCCCCAATAACTGAGGCTTAACCAAGGCTGGGCTAGGAAGAAAAGGAACACTGGAGGGCGCTGTGGCCCCGGGCTCCAACCTGTGCCACTGGGGGGACTCTCTCACGTATGTCATGCAGTGAGAAGGCTCTTGTGCAGCATAAAGTAAAGGCACCTTTCTCCGTGGTATAACAGCTAGCATGGCTGCTTACTGATCACTGACGGCTGATATCTGCTAGGTGTACAGCACACTCCACCTGGGTGTCTTATTCCTCCTCCTTTTAATGTCAGTTTATGTATTTACACAATATATAGGCCACCTCTCCAGAGAGCCTGCTTGAGGCAGCTTACAAAGCAAAACAAAGATACAGTCATGAGCAGCATAAAATACAGTTTTAAAATTAACTGCTGGGAAACTCTGCAGTTAAATCCCCCCCCCCCTGAAGCCCCCAGCATTTTCTCCTCACCCTGACCTGGATGGCCCAAGCTAGAAAGCTAAGCAGCGTGGGCCCTGGTTAGTATTTGGATGGGAGGCCCCCAAGGAATACCAGGG